GTCACAAAATTAATCTTTAATATTTCATAATCTTTTCAAAGATACTTCTTTTTTTTTAAATCAAAATTTATCTTCAAAAAATACACAATATACTCGATTCATCACATCATATCAATAATCTTTGAGTTCTCCTAATGTCTTCACATTAATGGCGTAGCGACAGTTCGTTCAATATAGTGCAGTGTGTTCAAGAGTTCAATGATGCGCCTGTGAATTGAAAATAAGACAGACAAGCATATATCTGATGCATTTGATGTGTACAGCATTCTGAGGCGCACCCGCCTTTTAATCTCGAAAGATAATTCCTGAGTGGAAATCTTAAAATGATGGGAGGCACTTTTGTGAAATAATTTGACAAATCGCGGAAGTTCTGCAATACTACCATAATAGAAAAAAAATTTCCGTAAAAAATTAACTATTCGTATAGGTGATCATTCAAATAAGAGTGGACAAATTATTTCAAAAAGCCTATTTGGTCTTTTATTCTTTTCTTAAAATACACTCTGATCAATTTCAGAACAATTATATAATTAAGAAAAAAAATGCAAAACTCATTAAACACTAAAATCAGTAATAACAACAGCAATTGTAACAATTTATTCATAAAAAATTGTAGCAATTTACAGATTATGATATTTAGATTATGATATTTTTGGTTTGAAATGATATTTAGGAAGTAAATTCCTAGCAATCATCTAATTCAATACAATGATTATCATAAAAAGTCATACATCAAAGTCCTGTTGACATAGTAATTAAGTTTTCTGAAATTCATTATTATTTCTTTTTACTTGCTGTCACGTAATTTTAAACATATATCTTCTCCGTACAATTTAAAATCATTCGAAGGAAAACTGCACCAATTAGAAATATATTTCCCAAATAATTTGAAAGAATAAATTAAAATTAAATTTTTGGGAATAATTCATTTGGATTCATGATTCCTTTTGGATCTAAAGCCTTCTTAATAGCAATCATCGTGTTCACTGCTACCTCACCACATTCATTCTCCAAATATTTTCTTTTATTAATTCCAATTCCATGTTCGCCTGTGCATGAACCACCTGATGCTAATATACGCCTAAAATTAGCTCTTTTTTTCAATCACAAATTTATTATTTTGTAATGACGATAATTAAAATGATTTGATACCACTACATCCATCATTCATCTGGGTCATATAATTTTCAGTTTTTTTTACTAAGAAAAAGCAGAGTAAAACTGCATTCTTCAAACATGTCAAATATATTACCTCCACATAAATATCACGAAAAATTTATTACAAATTAAAGTAATTATTTGTTGCCACTAGCAAATTCGCATAATTGTTTTGATAAGCTATAAAATACACAAAATACAATAAATTTTTTAAATAGTACTTGATAATACGATCCGATAATGCCTGTATGATTTTCATCTCATCCTGATTTGATTCATCGACTAAGAAGATGCAGTGGAATCTGCCATCACCAACATGACCCACTACTGCTCCTGAAACATAGGCCCAGAAACAAATTAAGAAATGAGGTTGGACAAATGCTAAACCAGCACAAAATTACTTTAAAAGAAAGAAGAATGAAACTGAAAATTGAATTTAACAATACAGAAAGATAGCCAAGCTCATTAAAATCGTCAAAACATCAAAAGTTTTTAATGTCTCTTCACGCCGCGCAGAACAGCTGAGTGTTTTCAACAATATTAACTTCTTCCTGTTATCTTGTTTTGTTGTAATGATATAAATTGAAATATAACATGAAAAGTCTGTTATTAAATTTCATCACTAAAAGCGACGCAAGATTGACTAGAAAAAAATCGAACCGAAAATGCCAGATTCGTCAATATCCTTCCTGGCCTCCGCGACTTCCTTAGCTAATGAAGACGTTGGTAAGGAGAAATGTAATCTGAGACCCTGAAATAAAATTATCCAAATTTAGTGTTAAAAAAATCTAATTCTATTAAAGGACAATGCGGGAATGACAGTCGGCCGCTAATATGACCTAAATCTGGTTTTGCTAATCTTCCTAATACGAAAAGAAGAAAAAAAAAACTGATTTTATTAGTTGTGCTGCATGCTTGCACTTTGTGAACCATAGAATATTAATATGAACTTTTATGCGCAAGAAGCAATTGTTCCAGTTTCACCTAAGAGTTCGCCGCTTACATAGATTTTTCGAAAACACATGTTATAAGTATCGAGTGGCACAGGACTAAATATGATAAAATGACAAATTTTACTACAGTTTAGAATTAATTTTTTCATAGTAAATTTTTTGATGGTTTAAATTTGAAAACGAAACACACCTTAACATTAGTTTTTTGCGACAAGATAGCATAATAGGCAGAATGAAGAGAAGCCCAAATTTTTTTCTGCTCTTCAGGTGCATGACACCATGTGAACTCTCTTCCATCATTACTGGCGAATATTTCTTCTATCAAATAAACATCATTCTTTTACGTACTTTGTAATCACAGAACCAAGTTCATTAACATGGGTGGTAAACACTTGATGAGAGCTCTTTTTGACTGCTTTTCAAGGTAGAATTTTTTGACTTGATAATTTCTGCGTCATTACTGCATAATCTACTCAATAATAAAGTATTGATAGATGTTAGCTATAAACTAATGGCAAACAGCTAAATGAGAGAAATTGAAATGAAACTTGGCTCAAAGAATTACCAACAAGGCTGGCCTGTTCAGCTACTTCTGCTTCGGAGTTACCATGGAATTCCAAAAAAAGAGTGGGCGATTCGACAAGTGTCAATTTACTATAGCGATTACAAGCTGTCACTGTAGCAGCGTCCAGAAACTCTGCAAAATTTCATGAGATCATATTAAGAGCTTAGTATCACTGGCAAGTAGTTAAGAAATACTAGAACAAAAAAATATAAAAGATGGAAAGAGCAAGTTTTTGGAAGATGAAAGCTGCTGTTAGCGATAATGTTGTTTTAGTCGCATAAATGAAAATGAATTCTTACCGGAATCCAAAACAACTTCGCAATCTCATCTTTCTCTGAGGATCAAAAATTTAGAACAACCGAAATGGTATAAAAAAAGACAGCTTTAAAAAAGTTATATGATACAATGTGGCAAGTTATTAAGACACCTATTTTTGCAGTTGGTACAGAACACTGTAACGTAGCAACGACCGCCTCAATAGCTTTGTTTATTGTTTGAAATGGGCAAATTCCAACACTACATACTGCTGGCCTTGCATATAATCGAACTGCTGCCTGCGTTATCACTCCCAATGTACCCTTAGATCCCACAAAAAGTTTCGTCAAGTTATAACCTGCTGATGATTTCCTGATAATTGTTTCTTTTAAGTTATATAAAGCAATCTTTGTTAAATCTGCTTATTAACGCCAACAATTCATAAATGCAAGGTTAATGAAATGCATGTTCCCTTGTGGTAACAACGCTTGACAGCCCCGCAAATTTATCACTTATTTTGCTTCTAAATTGATATAATCAAGTTATAAATTTCTTTTTCAAAACTCAGACCAAAATAAACTCACCTTGGCCGTCTGTCTTTCCCAGCTGTGTATAGCACATCACCATTGGACAGAACAACCTGTAACAACACCAACTTGATGTCACGGCCGAAACAAAAAAAGATTTTGTCAATCGAAAAACGAAAAGATACCTCCAAATTCAAAACATTCTGCACCATGGTACCATACCGCGCTGCATTTATACCACTTGCGCTCATAGCAGCCATACCACATATGGATGCATCCGCACCTGGATCTGTAATTCTAGCATTCAGTTCAAAACGTATCCAAAATTTTTCATTGATTTCCCTCTAAACCTAATAATTCCATAGTTTGGTGCAAATATACCTCCAGGAAACCAAAGGCCTGTCGTGTGTAGATGTTGATTCAATGTCTCGTGGGTTACGCCTGGTTCAACAGTACAATTGAAATCACTCGTGTTTATTTCCACTATCTTATCAATTGACATCAAATCGATACATATACCTCCCTAAAAGACTACCCTTAATTCACCATCTTAAAATAAAAATTAAGAAACCTCTTACGATTTATGGTGTGTATGAAATAATGTTTTCAACGAAATGAATTTCAATAAATAAATGAATGCCAAATATTACAAGAAAATATTATGACAATAAACCTCGGGTGTGTTGGCAAAACCATCTAAACCAGTGGTTGTACTAAACGGTACCACTGGAATACTATCTTCATTACACGTCTTCAGCACAGCACTAACTTGTCCAACATCTTTAGGCACTACAACTACATCAGGCGTTTTACCTCTGGAATATATTACATAAATTGAGTATATTGATAAAAAGAGTCTTAAAAAAATAACATAAAACACTTTTTAAATAAAAAAAGGTTTTGTAATATTGTAAATCACGGCTAAAAGTTAAAATAATAGGTGTCAAAAACCAAACTTGAAATAAGCTATAGTTTGCTGTAAATAACAATAAAACATATGAAACATTTAAATGAAAATTTAAGTTCAAACCACAAATAAATATGTTTTGAAGTTGTAAGAAACAAAGAAATGGAAAGATTAATAACCAAAACGATGTTTACGGAAAAGCAACAAATTAAAGTGTTTAAAAACATACATGTGACGTCTATAAGAATTTCCACCCGTTTCTCCAGTAGTTACTTTAACAGCTTCCTTACCCAAAACACGCTCTAATTGCGAAATAAAGTGTTGATTCACCTGGAACAACAATAAAAACACCGTACCTAAAGATGTTTAAAGTAAATATCCCGAAATAATGGCTTATTATATTCCAAGCTATTAAAATTTCAATATTATTCAATTTCCATATGAAAATTTCAGTAGTAGCAAAGTATATAATAACCAAACTTTTCTTTGTTACCAAGAACGAACAATAAGCACCATCCTCAAGCTTAAGCAGTTTACCATCCAATTTCACTATTATTTTCAATTTTAACAAAGGATTTTGCAAAGCAATGAAAAGAAAGATCCGAGTTATTAAAAAATTTCTTGTACTAGAAAACACAGCAAAAGTTACTTTTCTGGTAAAGTATTAATTCAAAATGAAAAATTACCTTGCTAAATAGGCGACGACTTAGCAGCATATTTCCGTTATTATAAATTGAGAATACTCTCGCCAGCCCAACTCAAAAAACCATCATTCTTGATATGCTCCCTAAATCATGCATTGTTCAGGTATATACAATGCAGCAAAACAAGGTGTCCGGAAATGTCCTTGTTCTTGTAGAATTTACAACTGAACACAAATTAATACTCAAAACAAATTAATAATCAATTTATCCATAAAGCTTCAGGTTTAGGTATTCTAAGGGAATTGGTAATTGAAAGGAAAAATTACACATCAAAGTCCTATAACTCTTTTGATTTTTAGATCTCAAAACGGTAAATATATTACAAAATAATGTAATACAACAACTAAGAACATTTCTTTTTAAAACGATTCAAAAATGTTATTTCATCAGCAATATAGTAATAAAAATAAACGAAGGAAGTCATTTCGTTCAGTACAATAAAATAATATCATCTGATATGAAACGTAAGAGCATTTATCAGCACGCAATTAAACATAGAAAGATACCCACGTATACGGAGAAGCTGAGACTGTAATAAAAAACAGCCAGCTGATTTACTTATGATTAATTTCTTTATTAATTAGAAATGACATCATTAAGTAAAACTGAAAGTACAGATGCACGTATTTAGAAAGATATCATTTTGTCACCGGCAGACAAACGCAAACTATTTAAGATACATCATTCGTCAACAACGATTTAGATTCCTCTCTGATTCCTTAACTCAAAATAAATATTAATAGTCACGCTCCATGGAAAGGAACAAGTATTGGGAATTTTCATAAATGATTAAGAACGAAGTAAAGATGCTAAATTAAATGAGGAAGTTTAAACCAGCAGTGTTATAAATGATTTTGATAATTTTAAATCTTAATCTTAATATTCATTTCTCCTGCTGAAAAGACAGTTTTTGGCATTACTTCGGAGATATGCAGATGAAATAGTAAAGAGTATTTAAAAATTCAAAATAAAACAACATATATAATCAATTTCTCAAAATAAGCGATTATAACGATAAGTAAGGATCACCAAACAACAGGAACCAAGATCCGCAATATACCTTCATCTGATAATAGTTTCACTTCAACTCGTTCATAGTCTACCTTTATTGGAAAAAAAATATCCAAGATTGCTTGTTCACGATCAAGAACGATTAATAAATGATCATCGTTCATCCTAATATTCAACCTAAAAAGCCAATTACAACGTTTAAAATTCAAAAAGAAACAACACAAATGAAGAATGAAATTCGTTATTTGAACCTTGGGCTAAAATCATATTGTTTTTTAATATTTGATAAAATTTATGACTAGAAGCGAATCATTTTAAAAGAAATTCACAATAACCTGTCAATGTTTTCTATCGGTGGTTCCACATTAGCAAACTTCAAGTTTACTTCTAACTGCTTGCCGTTACGAAGAAGAAGTTGGCAATTCTTTGGAATACTACATTGCTGCAATTTATCCGTAAATCAAATTTCATTTAGCATACGATAAGCATTGATACTGAAAGTCGGAAACATGAGCACCGATGTTTTCGACTTTCAATATTT